GTGTGGACCTTGGGTCAAGGTCTGGCCAGCGCCACTCAGGTCACGAAGCTAGTCAAAGGGGTTCATATCGCATATCGTTCGATTCGGTAGGTCAATCTGTTGAGCGATACCTAATTTCATTAACCCGCGACCTGGTGGGGGGGGGGGGCTATTTTTTGCCCCCTTCCAGACTTTTCGATATATCTCCAGAACCGCTGCGCCGATCGTCACCAAACTTTCAGTACCCTCCCGGACATCAATTTTACACATTGTGACCAAAATTTTTTCCAAAAGCTATGATAGGTTGGCCGGAAATGACGTCATAGTGACGTCATGTTCTGCCGTTTTCGACCCAAAAAAGGGTTTCGCGGGAAGAGCTGTCAGGCCTATAGCTTTGCAAATACAGACAAATGTTTAGGACATAAAAGCTGAAGAATTGAGAGGGCTACAAAACTGCTATCTCGGATTTTTGATTTTTTTTTTATTTTGACCCCCAAAAATCAAAAAATAGATTTTTGGGATATAAAAGTCAAAAAATCCGAAAAGTTTTTTGAATTTCGCAAAAACCGGAATATATGTGATAGTCCTTATCGCCTTCCATCCACATACCAAATTTTAGATTGATACCTCTTTTTTTGGCGAAGTTATAGCGAAAAAACTGTTCAAAATTGATGACGTCAAATTTTCAAACTCAATTTTTAGAAATTCTAGACCTCGTAGTGCAACACAAAGACCACCATTAGACTCCCCGTGACGAGCTGCATCGAATCAATACCCATTTTATGCAAAAATATCAACTTTGAAATTTGACCTTTTTTGACCTGACCTTGACCTGACCTCCGCCAGAAAGTGACCTAAACCGTACCTGATGGTCTTATAACCAACACCATTGGGTTGGAAATGAAAAACTGGCCATAAAACATGCATCGCACAACCTTAGTAAAGTTGGGTTCATGTGGTGACCCTTGGTGACCTTTGGTAACCTGACCTGTGACCTGACCTAGTATGACCAGTGACCTCTAATAGCAACATATGTACTAGACAACTGACGTCTTATCGCTGATTTTCGACAAAATGCGTTTTACTCGGTGTTATAGCGCTTTCCCTAGAAGCCCCGTGAACGGTGAAACATTTTATCTTTGACCTGACCTGTGACGTCATCGGTGACCCCGAGGTCAATGAAATTTGGTTTCCCTCGACAAATTTGACAGGGCTATCGAACGCCGTTTGAATTTTGCGGATCCGTCCAGTAGTTTCGGAGATACGAGGGGGGGGGGGGCAAAAAATAGCCCCCCCCACCAGGTCGCGTTATAAACAGACCCCACCAGGGCGCGGGTTAACATCGAGGTCACCGATGACGTCACAGGTCAGGTCAATGCAAAAATTATTAGGGTTTTGGCTTGTTCACAATTTAGGCTCTGGACGACGGCTTACACATCCGATCAGGCTCATTTTTGGTTTGTGCACTCTTTGATATGTGCCAAAGATCCCCTGAGGCTAACAAATTTGTACTTTAAATTTTTCAGGTCAAAGCCAGGTCATCCCAGGTCACGGAAATTTTATATCATGTATCGGTCACGTGACACATGTTTTATGGTTCATTTCACTTATACATTTCGAAAACAGTATCGTCTGAGTCATTTGCGGTCATTTGTAGCTGAATTTAGCTGAGGTCAGGTCACTTTCAGGTAAAAAAGGTCAAATTTTGGAGATGAATTTTTTCAACTAAAAAAGGTGTCTCTCAGATGCAGTTTGAGCTCAGGAACACGATGGTGCTAGTTATACTACTGTAAGATGTCAAATCGTGCTGAAAAATGGACTTTGAAAAAACTAAAATTGTGAAATTTTGACTGATAGGTACGTATAACTCAGCCATTTTTTAAAAGATTTTGGACTAAAGCGTTTTGAGTTGTTCATCGGCGGGTGTTCTATCACAAATGTTCCGTTTTTTTTTTCCTCTAAAAGTGAAATAGTTGTTGGAAAAATCAAAATAGATTTCTTTTGAAGGGGAAGGTACGGCAATATATGGGCACCCGAAGAAAATTTGTCTACTGTTCCATAAGGAATGAATCAAAACTACTGTCCATGGTGGTGAGCGAGACCTTGATGCTTTGCTGATGAAGTGCCAGTGCATTTACTTCATCTGATATCCAGATGCATTTAAAAACTTCGTTTGAAACAGGTCCTGCACTTATTCCGTTTTGCCCCACCCCTGGGGTAAAACGGGAAATGGCGTGGAGCAATATGGGCTTCGATGACTTTCACGTAGCTATACATACCAGTAAAACGCCTTTTGGGCGAAGAACGAGCGAGCGAGATAGTGAGCCCTGCACGTGCGGAAGGGCGAGAGGGTGCTTCCAACGGGCTTGCACAAAGCACCCTTCTAACCGGTCGCTAGCGGTGTGCCAAATTTGAACGCAATCGGCCCAGCCGTTCCTGAGATCTGGAAGCGGCATTCTGCACGTGCGCACGTGCAATCGGGGTCCAAAATGACTTTTGCACGGCACCCTACTAACTGGTCCCCAACCGTGTACCAAATTTGAGCGCAATCGGCCCAGCCGTTCTCGAGATCTGGAAACGCCCCCTGCACGTGCGCACGTGCAGTAGCACCCTAACCGCAAAACATGGGAATGCATTGCCTGATGGGTGCCTACCTGTATGCCAAGTTTAAGCGAAATCGCCCCAGTAATTACCGAGTTACTGAAATGGGATCAAATTTGGCACCTCTTATTGTTGTATTTTGCACGTGTACTGGGGGTGACTCACATGCATCGAGAGTATCCTATTTTGGGTAGAAGGGATGCTGCTACCCTACAAAAATTACCGCAAGTCAATCGCCCAAGCGGCTGCTGAGATATGAGCCTCTCAAAATCACTACTTTTGCAAAACAGCTTGAACCTCCTTGACTTTTCACGTGGCACGTGCCACGACGGTCACTGAAATGTATCAAAAGTAGTCAATTACGGGGTAGAAGGGATGGGGCTACCCAACAACAAAGACCGCAGGCCAATCGGTCCAGCGGTTGCTGAGATATAAGCCTCTCAAAAGCGTTACAGGCCGGGCCGGGCCGGGCCGGGCCGCTCATACTGAGATTTTTCCGTTATATTGAAAAGACTCACTTCGCTCGCTGCGCTCGCTCGCTCGTAACTATCTTCCTCGGTCTCCATCCAAGCTACTGAAAATGACAGAGTCCATCTCGACAAAAATATACCTACCTATATAAGGCACATACACGGAACCTGTGTACTTAAAATGAAGAAACATTATGACAACGTTTGAAACGTTTAACACGAATTCTCTTTGAAAATAGCACATTTGAACATGCATTTACCCTCGCGGGCCCGGGGGGGGGCGTTTTTCGCCCCCCCCCCTGGCGAATATTTGCGATAGCTCCCGAACGCTTAGGGATAGGAAGGCAAAACTTTCAGTACCTTTTCTCCCATCAATTTGACATCTTCTGAAGTAAAAAATTTGGACCTAGCCCCCTTGATGACGTCACAAGGTCTATTTTTCTAGACCCCTGCACGTCAAACTTCGGCGTTACAGACGCAAACTTCAAATAGCTGCTAAAAATAGAGTTTTAGAGATAAAGACAAATTACGAGCACGGTTGTGTAGCGTTTGACCTAGAGAAAAATAGAAAAATAGTTTTGGTGACCTGAGGTCAAAGGTCAGGTCAACGACCCCGAAATGTGGTTTTAGTTTTTCGCAAATAACCTCGACAAAAATGGTCCTAGAGCTACGGCAGTGGTACCATCGCATTCGCCTTGTCAAGCCGCGTCGAATGATATATATTTTGTTCGGAAAAGGTCAAATTTAATGTTGACCTCATGTGACCTCGAATGACCTCTGGTTGACCTTGACACATGAAAGGTTGTTTATGATGGATTTGTACCCGTTGATCACGAATCTGGCATCTATTTTCCTCTAAGCCTTCATTTAGAGCTTCCGGATTGCAAAATTGTCTTATTTATTATTACTAACTTGAATCAGTGAAATAGCCTCTAGCAGGGATACTCTTCTGTGACCTTGACCTTTTAGCAGCCTTGTATCGTAAGATGAACCACAAATAGGGAACTGATAAGCCTCAAAACATTTCAAAGCATCTTGGAAGTTAGCACGCAAGATATGCGAAAAAGTGCCAAGTTTGAGGTCAATTTTGAGCGTGACCTTGACCTTGACCTTTCACTTTGAGCACATTTTCAGAATCCTCAGATTCTCTTCTTTCGTTTGACAGCCAATTTTGCCGGTTTGATGCAGCTTGCCGTCCTCTAGAAGGCTTACTTTGAGATCACTACACATGTGGCCGTTTTTTGCCTTTGACCTTGACCTCTGACCTTGAAAATTGACCTGAGGTCAAAAATTTTAGGTGCATTAGAATCGTCTCGTAAGGACCTTTCGTTTGGTATCGCTTTTGTTTCCGTAGCTCCCTTATTTACGGAGTTAGATAGGGGGGGGGGGGCGAAAAAGCCCCCCCCCGGGCTGCGGTGGTTGGGATTACCCTCCTGGCCCGGCCGGGTTTATGAAACGTGAGTGGGCCAATAAAGGCGACTACATGTTTCAGAAGGGCACTTTTATGTAATAGTTGAAGCTTATTTGCTACAGATACCTAACCCGGTACCTTTTCTAAGGGCTATGAATACATTTGTTACTTCGCCGACTGACCAACTATTTGCTCATAAACGAAAAGCACGATTCTTACGAATAGTGTATCATCTGTCGAGCAACAAACCTTCGGTAATCGGTTATCAACTTTCGGTCCGTCTAATTTAACAGATCAACGTAAGGACTTACTAATCGTGTTCCAGGTCCAGAAAATGTCGGAAACCTGCACATTTGTCCTACCGTCCGGCACTGGCGGGGAGGGGGAGGGGCAGGCGGCGCCCTGTTTTCGTTGGCAGCCCCGTGGGCTACCCCCGTCTGGGAGGCGGGCAGCCGCCCCACTGCTGTCGGAGGTGGACGCCCGGCCCAGGGGAGGGAGGGGAGGGGGAGGAGGGGAGGGTGCCGGCCGCCCAAGGCCCCACGCGTGCGGCGGCGGCGGACGGCGGCAGTCGGCGCCCGTGTGGTGCCCGCGGTGGTCGCGTCGGTGGTGTGTGGTGGTACGGTGCCTGGTGTGACCACGTGCTGCTGAGCGACGAGCTGGGATTCCTGCCAGGTGAGGATGCTTTGTCAGGGAGTGCGGACGGTGCGGCGGGGTGGTCTACGTCCCAAAGTGGTACTCACACGGCAGTAGGAAATAAAACCCCGGCCCCCATGGCTGCCTGCGACGGCAGGTGAGCCCTCGTCGGTATGCCCCTGCCCGTGCACCTGGCTTACACAACCAGGTGCGTCTGCCTGGGTCTGTCGGAAAGTTCAAGAGTGGGTGCATCTAATCATTTGTGCCAAGGTGATATTTGTTGGTTGATGTCTGATGATGCACGCAGCGACCAGCGTTGTATCACCGTGTGTTTTTTTGTGAAGGGGGAATGAAATAATGATTTATAGCGATTTTAAATGAAATGAGGCTATCTCACTCATTCTATCATTGAACTTGAACTGGAACGGAGCTTAATTTTTATTCCCTTCCCGCAGTAATTCACTTGCATTATATTCAAAATGAAAACCTCTCATTCCATTTTCCATAATAGCATTTCAAACAGCGTGGAGCCTGAATAGTCTACGAGTACAACTAATCTAATCCAGTGTCTCATCAATGGATCATGATCTATCTTGGTCACTATTTTGACCAACCATTGTCCAAGTGATAAATGAAATGATATAGGAATCCGAATCAAGACCTCTGTAGAGTCTGTATGGTCTATTAATACTGAGCTTTAGGCGGTTTCTCCTTTGGATGGGGATTACAGACGCTGAATCAAGCCAACAAGCATGTCCTGACAGCGTTAAACACGGTATTCATGTCCAGCTTATCAGTGATCTCCAGGCAAAGCCTTGAGCGTGCACCTTCTCACGTTTAACCTTGAGACGTGATAGGATGTTGTCATGTCCATGCCAACATTGGTCATTCCGAGAAAGTTACGATATTATCGCATATGAATACAGTGCTACATAATGCATCAACTGGTTGCCAGCCGCCAGGTAAGCGAAGCTATACATCAATAAGATGTCGTCCTCTCATCATAGGCAAATCAAAATGAGAACGCAGGTTTTGATGTGCATGACGCGCTTCCAAGATTCTCATCTACCTCGCTGACAACAGAAGAAAACCTTTCACGGGGACAGGGGACACATAAGTCGCCAGTACCACAAGGTCTCTCTCTCCCCAATGCCGCAGCCGTTCATCCAGCTGTCGAACAAGGTCGGACCATCCTCGCTGTTCCTGCCCCGGTCTGAGCAGCATGGCGGCGCCCCTTCACCCACCATTAGACACGAGGTGTCCAGTAAATTCCCACACCACAAGGCCACCCGGTCCGGAAGTAACGCTACTCGTCAGTCGCAGGCGGAGGTATACTCGTATCTCCCCGAGAGGATCCCTCTTCACTGCGTCACCTGCCGCGACCGCTCAGACCAACTGGCACCCGTTTTTTTGTTGACGGACAAAAACGGGCCTCGGGGAGAGGCTCGCTGACTGTCGGTACTCCCAGGATGCGGGGGCGTTAGGGGGAAGAACTTTGAGGGCACGCATGGGCCGTCAGGTGCGGAGCGACTGTTCAGCTCGCCGCTGGAACTATTGCCGGTTCAGTTTCTTTACCGGTTTTCCATGAGGCGCTGGGCGATCATATCACTTCCTTGTCCCGCTAACTTCACGTCCTGAAGGTCTCACGATCAATCTCTTTTCTACCCTTTCCAATGCCTATACGTCGCTCACCTTTTCGGTAACCTACCTTGTTCTAACCATGTCCAACACCCATCAGACTCGCATCCTTTCCACGTCCCATCTTTGTCACACCTCTGCCTCACGTTCCTCGATCCCTTCCCACGCTCGTCCCTCCATATTCCCTTCCTTTCCTCTCGACGACCTCAGCGACTGTCCCAATCACATTCGCCCGTCAGTCGGCGCCTTCTCCCTATATTAGGTCCGTTCCTCGTGTCCTGTTGTCCGTTTTTGTCACCGAATATCAGCTCGGAGGATCAAGTCGGACTTTTTACAGAGACGGCTGACAGTGGCTTTGAACATCGCGCCCCCACAGCTCCCTGCTTCAATGATGTAATCAGCGTCGGAGTGACGTAGTTCGAAAGGCTTACGAAGGTCGTAAGGGGTGACTTAGTCCTCAAGGAGTCTCGTGCGCAGGGAGTGTCATGTCGCCCAAGGATCAACACCATTTTAGTCTGGCTGGTGGTATCCGGAGCTCTGAATTAAACTGGCACTCATTTTTCACTAAGCAACTTTTTAAGCTCAGCATCTAATAAATTACTTTTCCTTAGCTTGCTTGACTTGGGTCTTGGGATTATTCGTCTGTGCAGTTTGAGTGTCGGATAAAGTTAAGGGTCCAGCTCGTCAGAATTCAGACGCAGAACTCTTCGTGTTTGTTCTTTGACAACGGCATCAACTATCTACTAACTGGAACCGATAAGTTGTCGGGTTTTGGCCCGGTCGGGTGCTGTGAGGGTGTCCTGGACTGTTTCTGGACCCGCCTTCCTCTGCTCCGGTCTGTGCAGCGCATGGACGGCGCTGAAGTTTGGTGTCGTTCAGTCCTGTCCCGCCGGCGTCCACCGTCCCCACGACCACCCTCCGCGACCGCCCGCTACCATCGCCTCCATGGCCAGAGCCTAATGCAGCGGTGACCGATGATGTCAGCCAAAAACGTGACCTGCAACGTATACATTTTATCGGCACACACGATCGCAGTCAGGGCCTTGAATGCATCGCAAGTAGTCATTTCCCTGCACATGGTGTGTCTCCATATTTGGTCGTAGCTCGAAGACATATTCCAAAGGCGTTGCATAATTTAACCTGTGCAGTTACGTTTGCATGTCTAGAAATGCACTTTATTTCTATATTTAACTGTAAAAGGCTCATAATGTTATTTGTTTTACGTGTTTTACTCTGTTTTTGCAGAGGAAATATGTGTTCAGTTTTTCTTTCTCTTCCGCCTGAAATACTCCCGTCCTCAGCATTCATAGGCGGCGGAACGGGGAGGGCACCGGGGCACCGTGCCCCCCTTTAATTTTGGCATTTTAACATTAGCCCAATGGACGTTGCATGAAAAGAATGGGACCAAAAGTCGGCAGTGCCCCCCTCCCCCCTAATTGAAGGTGTTCCGCCGCTACTGTCAGCATTGGTATCAGCTGCGAGTTTCTCCAGCTAAAAGCCGCCGCGGCAGTGCTGCCGTGGCTGGTCTTCGTTACCCGGATTATATTTCCTTTCCGTCTGTTTCTGCCTGTCTGCCTACCTGTCTTCTCTCTCTCTCTCTCTCTCTCTCTCTCTCTCTCTCTCTCTCTCTCTCTCTCTCTCTCTCTCTCTCTCTCTCTCTCTCTCTCTCTCTCTCTCTCTCTCTCTCCCTCCCTCTCTCTCTCTCTCTCCCTCCCTCCCTCCCTCCCTCCCTCTCTCTCCCTCGGGTCTCCAGCGGACCACAGCTCGTCTCAGTGCCACCACCCAGAAGGAACGTCTTCTGTTCCGGTGTACCGTGTGTCGCTGTGGGAGGGGCACTGGCTACCGGCCAGGTCTGAATCCGCCCTTCCTGGAAGTCGACTTCCCGGTCAGACAGACAACAAACAACAGGCCTCAGACCAGACAGCAACAACAGATTGACAGCACCACACACGTGTACCAGACGGTTGAACAATGTATCCCTCGAGCCTAGATGGTTAGACTGGCATGGCTAAACCAACCGCATGCATTCTCCTTCCTTTGCTCTGCTCATCTTTCTGCCTCTTCTTTCTCTGTCGTCACCAATCACAGGAGGCGAGTCCTCCAGACGTTCAGTCCCCTACCCTGCCACCGGATGCTACTGCTACGCCTGCCACCCATCATCTTATTAGCCGTAATCAGATCACTGAGCGAGCGACGGCTTCGGCGGTGTTTCTTCCCGACGCACAGACCGCCGACACGCGGAACGACGACGGGAACGATGGGCGACGGCAGGCGAAGTGGCTGGATGTAGCAACTAGCAGTGGCGGCGGTGGCAGCGACCCAAGCGCAGACATTAGTTCCAACTGGCTAGCGTTCCTCTGAGATGGATGTTATTAATCTGTCTGAAGCGAAGGGGGATATAAATTACTCATGTTTCATTCCATGACCGCAGGAGTGTGAAAAATGGGCGGTGGTTAAGATTTTGTCCGGATAGCGAGATGCGTTGGAATAGGGATCTGATAACGTCGGTACAAGTCGGTCTTAATAAATCGGTCTTTATAAATCGGTCTTAACTTTGCAAGACCCATCTATGTAGAACGATCTTTAAAACGACGACCAACATGATGAGAACTATCAATGTTATGGACAAATATCAAATGTCGAAGTTCTTTGACAGAAAACTGGACGGGCATGGTTCATTGTATGTGATCGTCACATGCTAGATAGCTTTACGTCAGCAGCATCCTGAGGAAATGTTTAGCCTGCAGCTGCTCTGACCTTGTGATGGCGTTAGCCGAATCTTGGCAACTGTTCTGACTCTGCATCCGACTCTGACTCACCGGCTGGGCCTGGGTCTCTGAGTCAACAGCAGTATCATGCAGGCCCCCACACCCAGATCAGACCTGCTTTACAGCCTACACCTCCCGATAGATCCGACCATAGATCAGCCTGATCACTTCCCTGTCCCCACACCAGATCAGCACCTTCCCTCGACCTCTGATCTCACACACATCACCAGATCAGCCAGCCGTCCACAGCGCCGCCAACCCCAACACCAGGTCATGCCCTCCCACCCCTAACTCCCACCAACAGACCAACCGACCACCATTTCCGTCTCCGTCACTGCAGATCATCCCGGCATATCCCAACCCCCACACCCAGATCACCGATCTCTGATCAGCCCTGCTGCGGCCCAACCTCTGTCGCGACGCCGCTCGTCCGGTAACGATGTTTTCCGGCGGCGTGTCGGCATGATTGATTAGCCGGCGGCAGCACGCATCCGTCTCGGACGCGCAGAGCCAAGACGACATTCTGCAGATGTTTCCCGAAAACCGGGCCGGCTGCCGGAAGGCCAATTACCCGGTCAGTCACGCGGCCCGACAGGCGGAGAGAAATATGAGATCGAAGGGATGGACTGCCGT